ACATATATTAGCACTGTGAACATAATTGAAATGGGCCCCGGGGCCATGGCATCATGTTCTGAAATCAGACACGACCCCAAAGACGAGTGCCCGCCCAGGGGTCTCTCGCAGCGGAGGCCGGCCTCGCAGGGAGAGAGCAAGGTGATTTATAGGAAGGTGGAGGAACATGAGGAGAGTGGCGAGGGAGGGGGTTTCAGGTCTGACATTTATCCATATGGGAATGTTGGAAGGGGGGCTTCGAATCAAGTAATCATAGGTTACCTCCACTGCTACCTTGGAGGTGCAATTCCATCCTCTCAGCAGAGACACACAAAGCACACTGGGGGTATCAGGTGGCCCAGTCTGCCTTCCCCTGGTGAAAGCAAAAGCCTGGCTGACACCAACCCAACCAGCTAGACCAGAGGAGGGCACACACACAGTCATTCAGGACACAAAAATCACATGCACTCATCCAACACAGCAGCTCCAGTCTCAGATCCATTAATGAAACGTTCACCCTCGTCCTCCCCCCGAAGCCCTTGAAAAGCTTCAGTAAGTCGCCAGAATGGAAGGTGAATGTGCATATATGCCAAAACAATCAAAGCTTGCCAGGAGTACAGACAAAGGAGTCCCGTTTCGTAGATGTTAAGCCACGGCCACATCCTCCAAAACAACCTTTCCCTGTTGGAGGAAAGTATCGTCGCCTGCAGAGTGGAATCTGTACCAAAAACAACTCATGGCATTCAATAAATCTGTCTGTAGGCTGAGTTATTCTGTAATATCAACATTGCAACACCATTAATACCAACACAATTACTCTGAGGACACTTAATCAAATGTGGTGTTGGAGCTATTTTGCAAGACAAAGTCATAAATTAACATTCTAATCCTTGCTGGGTACGCAAAACCACGCCTGCGGGTTCTGTGAGAAGGCCACTAGTGAGAGTGTGTGTTAGTCCAGGATAAGGAGGGCAATGTCAGGGGACTAATCAATCCGAGGAGGGGATACAGGCGGCAGCGAAGGGCACAAAGGCCGGCAGCAACTTGAACCACGGAGCAGAGCACTCGAGCGAACACAAGGCCAAACTCCCCACCTCCACTTTTCAACCCGCTTTCTGCTCCTTCTCTACGCTGGTCTTACGTTTGTGATTTTCTTATTTTAACTTCTTCTGTTCACCTTTTAATTACCACTTGTGTCGAAATGATTAGTCGACTAGACGATCAAAAGAAGGTTAAAACAACATCTTCAATAGTAACGCATTTGTGATGTGGTCAAGGAACCATCCAAGAAGTATTCCGCATTAAATTACTACAATCAGGAATGAAAAGATATACCGTGAGACAGATAAATTGCAATATAAATACGTGAAGATTCAAAATCGGTGAGTCGTAAAATGAATCGTGATACTCTTTTTACACAGCAGAGGGTGGTGTCTACTTTTCACTTTGCTTGTTTGATGTCCTACGTCACTTGTGTCAGTTGCTGTATTAAGGTGCAAAGACGTCAGTTTCACTTTTACAAAGAAAAGGAAATTCAAAAGTTCATACCCCACCTCGAAAAATAAAAAGGAATCTTAAAATGAAATATAACCCATATCACACACATATATATCAGAAAATATGTTTCGTAGATGTTTTGTGTAATCAATGCCATTTTGTAAACAATAAATTGTGAGAAAAATCATATCATGAACCCAGTTTCGTAAATTAAATCGTGAATTAAGTTTATTACTAACAGTCTTTAATATTCCACACATTTTAGTCAGTATTAAAACGTTTTTTTAGGTTTGATACCCATCCCTACCTGTCTCTAGTGATCAATTTACAGTTATTCATGGAAATTAATATCATACCGACCTAGACCACAGCCATACTCATTAAAATGAGCCATTAGCTCTGCTATTTTTCCCCAAAGGTTAAAGGTTTGTATCAAAGGTGCACTCATTTTTTGATGTTAGAAAAGGTGCTCTTTACTTCAGGTGAAGTGAACTGCCTCTGCTAAAATCCACAGCTGGATGCTCATTTGGGCAATTTATCAAGTTAAAATGCAAAATACCACTTTCAGCATCTCAAAGGTGAGGAGGTGCTGCTTTTCTTATATCTTCTTTAAATTGAATACCTTGGTGTTTTGCTTTCAGCTGGACCAAACGAGCAATTTGAAGAAGTAGCCTTGTGTTCTGGGAAATTGCAATGGTTTTTTTTATGATGCAAATAATCACAAGTTGCAGCCCACTTCTTTTCCTAGCGTTTTACTATCATCATCCACATCCTTCTCCTTTGTTTGGCTGCAGCAGCTAAAACCAACGAACCCCACTCGAGGAAGGAGTTTTTTGGACAGTTGCCCAGCTGTCAGATTCATACAGCAGCACTGTCTCCGTTCAGCGAGACCAGGATCGTCATGCAAGTTGAACATTTCATCCCATCCCCACTGGGATTCTGGATTCATCTGTCAGTGACGCTTTACTGTAAGTTTAGATGTGATCTAATATGCAGCGACGCCTTCAGTGGAACGACACTGGAGGTTCTGAGTGACCTGTGAGTCCAATCGATAGTTGATTAGTAAATGCGGAGTGTTCAGTGAGGAATCGTAGGAGTGGGTGAGAGGTCCTCCTGTCCCAGACGACATCATTAAACTGTATAACACACTCTCCAACACGCCATTAGTCCAACTCAGCCCATTAATACAAGGCCACTAGACTTGGCTGAGAAGGCATTTTGACCTTACACACATGTTGGACTCTCTCTCTCTTCTCTCCGTCTCGTCTCTCTCCCTCTCCTCACACACCACACACACACACAGGCAGTGTATGGGGATTAGGCATGTAATAAATCGTAGCCCCCGGAGTCATCTACTGTCTGTTGGGACTGGCGGCTTTGGCCTTTATAATGCCATTCCACTGTAACACAAACGTAGAAATTATATCCTATTACCCAGTCGTTCCATGAACCCATAATGGTATATCAGTATAATACAAGAGTTCGATGAAAAATAACAGCCGATACGTCGGGTTAGATCCATATATCATTTTTGTGCTTTGAACATTTTGTTTACTCAATTAATTGTTCAAAGATAGATTTATCTATGCTGGTTTTTCATGTATCCTGGAGTTTCCCAACCACTGGATAGCTGTGGTATGAGAGCCCGACTTTAAAAGTCGCTCGCCCTAAAATAACGTCATTAGTGCGAACATGTCACATGAGGGTTTAACATGAGGGTTTAAATGCTATTTTAGAGGCTTTTCTACCCTGACAAAAATAAAACTCTGAGAGGAAAATGTTATATTTGGAATTCCTGGAAAAAATTTAAAGATCCCTTGAATAGAAAATGAAACACCATCTATCAGCTGCTTCAGCACCAAAAGAGGCACTGGCCTTGTAAAAACCCGCATCAGTTGATACGCTGTGTGCCACAATGGAAAATGCCAACAGCGGCAGCGCACGCTCACGCACAACAGACAACGATGTGTTTAAGACATCACACAGGCCCAGCAGACTTAATTGCTTTATGACAGAACAAGTCCATAATCAAAAGAGGACGCACCCTAACCCGCCACAAAGAGGGGAGGCGGGGGAAAACGCTGATAACTACATCTGAAAGGATGAAAGACCCTACTATAAATAGGATGTGGATCATCCAGAGGGGCCTTTGTTTTCAATTGGATATCAAATCTTATCAGGCTGACATTCTAGCGGCAGTCTCTTGGTGACATTTTGGACTCGTCACAATTACACGACCTCCTTTTGAGGTCCAACCAGCCAATTTACATTACATTTTTTTTCTTATCCTGTCAGGTAAATCATTTCATATCATGTCAGAGGACACAGCACCCATGTCTATGACTCTGTGTGTGTGTGTGCAGGGTCCTTGCATTCAGCGGCTGTCTAAAGCATGTTGTAAATACAAGGTGTTTAAGAGAAAACATAGGAGGGGGTGGTGGAAATCACTCAGACGCTATTACAAAGGGCTGCTGGGGTCGTGAGGACTGGATGCGGGGGTGGGGCCGGGGGGGGGGGGGGGGGCAGGATGTAGGTTATCATAGATAAACAACCCGGTTCACCTGCAATCACAGCCAAGAGCAGTGCTTGGGTTTTTTTTTTCTAAACTGAATGGAAAAATAAAGGCTGCATCCTCCAACATCCCGGGTTTTGATTTAAGTCAGTGGATCGTTTGCCTAACAGAGACAAGTGAAAAGTGCATTTTTAAGTAACTTTAAGGAACTTTCTACCAGTTTATAACCAATGCAAGAGCATAAAATCCATCCCACATGCTCTGTCTTACATGTCATGTCTCATTTTAAGCTTCTACACATCCAAGACCAGCTACAGCTTTAAAACAGCATTCTAACTGATTTCAGATTTGGGATTGTACTCCCACATCCAACCCGGGACTGATGGCAGCATTTGCCTCAGTGTGGAGAGCTGACAGAACATCATGCATATGCATACACACATACAGCCTAACCAGCATGTAACACCAAAAACTACTTGCAAAATCTTTCATAAACCCATATAATCAGCTTTTTTATGCACTGCAAAATGTAATACCCATACAGCACGTATAGCTTTGTATACAGGGTAAGTGGGGGTACATGGTGTAAGTAAAGATTCAAGACTACAAAACATAAAGTACTGAAAGTGAAAATATAAAATGGAAAGCAATTTAATCAATAAAATGTGCTGCAGATCTGAGAGCTTGTGCCATCGCTTCAACACTTACACAAGCATGTTGTCAAACAAGATTTAGAGAAAAAAAAAGGAATCAGCACTCACACAAAGACACATTTTCCACTACAGTTTCTATTTTAAACACCTAAACTGCTCTCTCTAATAAGGGGAAACTTGGCTGCTGAGCTGAAATGTCTGAATGTGCGACTCAAACCAATTCACGGAGCAGATAAGGAGGGAATTTAAAAATAAAAAAAATACTACTAAACAAAACACCTCCGTTAACCTCTTCCCAAACAGGCTCACATGCAGTTTCAACTCCACTTTGCAACATTTTCAACCGGACATTTTCTTACCTGGACTCTGGCTGAGCAGCAAAGTTATCAGGGAGCCCCACAGCACCGCGGCCAGCTGCATCTTGTACCCCGCTTTTCTCTCGCTTCTCCGGGCTTCCCTTTCCCTACTCCCTCTTCTTATTCTCCCCAGTTAAATATCAACGGGCTTGAGTTGCAAGAGGACGCTCCGGCTTTCACGCTAACCTCATACCATGACTGACTTGTTAGCCCCCTTTTTTTTTCTCTCCCCCGACCTCCTCCGCCTCCTCCTCTTGTGTGCGATAACGCGACAAAACCGGGATTAAAAAGTTAACTCTGAGGGGAACAGCTCGGCCACGGTCTCCAACATGTTGTGCTCCAGTTCCCTACGCTGTAGCTACCAAAAGGAGCTGTGGACTGTACCAAACACAGGCTACGGGGGTGTTAGCTGTGTCTACCGCGGTATTTTTAAGCTCACTCGGGCGTAAATGAGCGACACTGACAAATCACTATCACGTTAAAAATGATATAATACAAAACAATCATTTAATCTCCAAACTTTGTTGTGTTTTTTGCGTTTTGTTCCCCGTCATTCTTCTCCGCGCTTCCCTATCCCGCAAGAAATCGGCTCTTCCAAAAAAATCTCTGCTCTCGTTGTGTCATTTCTTAAATTACAGCGTTTTTTTTAAAAAAAAAAAGAGGCTGGTGGTCAGCAAATCAAAGGATAAATTCAGACAGCATCTGGAGGCATGAGTAAACAGTTTGTGCCTCTCTTCACCGCGTGGAAAAACTTCTCTGGTCCCCCGTCCTCTCATTCTGCCCTTCTTTCTAACAATGTGGGTTAAAGAAGAGAAGACGAAGAGGGGGGGGGGAAGCTTCTCTGTTGTCACTTAAGTCAATGGAGGCAAATGACAGAGCAGTGGTTTCCACAGTGGGGTGTAATGACCATGGGATGAGGTCATTATTCAGTACCACAGATTTACAAAAAGTTACTGGAGGGAAATTATGGGTATATTAAAATGCAATTAAGTCCAAAAAGGTCACTGTGGACATATGCTTTTTTTCTCCAGGATTACAAGGCGTTCCAATGGGCATGGTATAGTTACACCACAAGTTTATACATTAAGTTTAGTCCAAACAGTCTCTATAAACTCGTTATTAACCATATGATAGTGATTCCATCACACATAGAACAACTATTAAGCATAATTAAGTCACTTTACGTTCACTAATTAAGATTAGAGACACACTACAATTTCCCATAGAACCATTAATCTCACTATGAGAGATCTTAGACATATCACTGCTTCCTATAAGAATAGTAGGATAAAGCACCACAACAGAAACAATATACATTAAGTATAAGCATGAACAAAGTAAGAAGTTAAGTATACGAATGCTAGTATCAAAGAGAAAAAAAAACAACATTTGGTCCCATAAGGTCACACTTAAAGGGATGCCGGTGTTCCCATCAACACATTTTTTGATCAGTTTCATCAGATAGATGAGTTTTAAAGGTTTTCTGTGATATTTGCAAGACAGAAAAAGTAAAGGTCCCACATTTATAAGGTGTAAGATTTAGGAGGATGTATTGACAGAAATGGAATACAATATTCATTAGTGTATAATAAAATAAAAATGATCAAGATTTCTGTGCTTTGTTACCTTAGAATGAGTCATTTTTATCTACAGGGGGAGCGGGTCCTCTTCTACGGATTCCACCATGTTGAACAAACCAAATACTGGCTCTAAATAGGGCCTTTTGCATTTTTCACAAATTTTGTGGCCACCATAGTTTCTCCTATATGCTGGGAATGGGAGGGTGAGTGGAGGGCATTGTAATCTGCAACTTCACCACTAGATGCCACTAAATCCTACACACTGGTTCTTTAAAGCCACATTATGTAACTTTTTTTACCTTAAAATAACAGCTTCAAAATCATGCTACACTGAGCTCTAATAGGGTGATTGGTGCTTCTGTCATTCCCACACTGCACCCCATATGCCTGCCCTTGCACTATGTAACTTTTGGCTCTGGGTCAGGTACAGGTATACCAACTATGTCACTGATTTTGATGAAAGTGATTCATGTTTTATGAAAAATGTGTTCCCCTCTGATGTCCTGTGGGTGCTGGTACTCAACTCTCTGTGATTAATAGAGTTGTTGGACAGTGAAGGGGGGCTGGATGTAACCCGGCTCAGCAGCTTTTGTGGACATAGCTAATGGCAGAGTCATTAGTGAGAGCTTTGTGAAGACAGCAAGACAGACAGCGAGCTGACCTTCTTCCCGTTGGACAAGTAAATATTAGCTGACTTGCTACATTTTGTGTTATTTTTCTTGCTTTCATCATAAATAATGTCAACATAACAAATGCATGTGTACAGCTGTCCATATTTATAACAGTGGCATTGGAAGTTGGGGCACACAATTGCATGTGTGATGCTTTAAGGTAAAATGTAATATGAGAATGTTAGAGTGAACTATATGCTATAACATTATAATATAATTTTTAATACCATAGTAGACAATGACTGAATCACCAGCATGTGAACTGCTGCACAGTCTACATATTTATGTCTCTCTTCTTTCCTTGGAAAGGAGGCTTTAGACCCCTCTTTGCAATTATGAGGCAGCTTTAGTTAGGATGTGAGCTCCCTCATCTCTAAACAGGACATCATCATTCAGCACACGCCTCCCCTCCATTCTCCTGTGGAGCATCCATCAGAGTATTAGATTTCATCCCAATAAAAGTGGTGTGCGCCATCACTTTGTGATTTGATACAGAGCATTTTAATGAACAATGCTTTGGACAAAAAACTGTTGCAGTCTGATGAAAAATTATAAAGACACTTAAGAATTTTCTGTTTCAATATCTATGTTTTTGTTAATTAATCCTTTAGATTATATTTATGCATGTAAGAGCCTATATAAGAATAATATGTAAGTGGCACAAATACTTTAATCCTCTTTTAGGAAAACTGTTGTTGACAGGGGCATGATTGACTCATCATTAAGTGCCTTAGACACCATGTAAGACCCAAAGTCTCTTTTAGAATGCTGTATAAATATACTGATTTAAATCTCTGTTGATTTGGTGACGACACTTAGTGATTAATAGTTTAACAATGAAGGTTCCAGAGTTAACTTCTAAATCACACATCTATCAGCCACTGGGGGCTCCAAACACACTTTGAGCAGTGACTCAGTCAGAAATGCAACAGGAGAAGAGCAAATCTTGTATCTGTTTGCAGAAAAGTCAAGCAAACAATGGACAGTCAACAAAGTCGTCCAACAGGCAATTACAGAGTGCAAATACATTACATGATCAAATGTGTAAAAAATGTCATAATAACTGAGTATGATTCAAACAAAGTGCATTTCTGATCATCTAACAGTGTCCATATTTCACATTGTGGAACCAGGGAGCTGCATTTAACAATTTTTGTAATGTTTGGAAACAGAAATCTGGACTGACTGGCCAGGCGTGCAGCGAGGCAGGTTTTGAACTACTTTCTCAAGGTCCCCTTTGCAATCTTTACTACATCCTTTCCAACAGCAGAGCACAACACCAGGAATGTATCTAAGAGGAGAGGAGGAGAGGAGAGACTGTTTGAAAGGTGCACGGTTATCCCCATTTGCACAATTTCACACTACAAAGACATGCAAAAGAGTTCTTGAGGGGAGACTGGGAAGGCAGTGTGATGCAGCCAGGAGCAAGCTATGACAGCAGGCTTTTTGCCTTTGAATGTGGTATAAGCTCTTTGCTGGGATGACATGTTGTATGGACTAATTTTTGAGAAATATGGAGGTATTAATAAGATCATTCCAATCAAGCACCACGGACGTAACTCTCTTAGGAATATTATACTTGTACCATAACAGTTACAGCAACCATTAAGATAAGTAAGTAAAACTAAGTAGCCATAATCTCCTGTGAGAATATTAAATGTGATACACTTAAATATATACTCATCAAAGCCAACAGAGCCCAATTTAGAGGCTTTTGGAGAACATGGAGAATGAAAATAAAGACAGGATGAGTTTTACACATTTTCCCTTGCGATACTCTGCCTAGTTTGTGGTGACTGAGCACTGAGCTGATCCAAGATCAGGACCTGGATAGGTTGAACTCTAGGCGGCCGGCCTGGCTGCAGTGTGAGCGGATAGCAGCTGTGGCCCTTTTCAGCTCCCATCTTGTCTCTGGGTGAAGAGATGGAGACATTTAATTATAACCTGTGATTAATGTGTCCGCAGTGGGCCAGGAGCCTGTCTGCACAGCACCGAGGGCTTTCATTCAGGTCTCAGACTTGTCTCACACACAGAAACACACACACACACACACACACATACACAGGATGACTCTGTATGCTCTAGTACACCTTGTTTCAACAATCTTATTGAAGAACGTTATCACTTGAAGTGCCAAAAAGTCACACCACTGCTCCTCTGACTTTTATATTCTCTGTCTCTCTGTCTCTTATAAGATGCCACTAGTATCTGACACCTTTTGGCCAGTGCAACATATGGCTGTCAGAATAACTGTGTGTGTGTGTTTGTGTGTGTAGGTGTATGTGTATGTGTGTGTGTGTGTGTGTGTGTGGCTGTATGTGTGTTCATAGGTGCTGGGAGAACAGCTGTGGGCTTATCACTTTAGCTTCCGCTGATAAATAAAGATGTGTGCTGGGAGATGAGGGAGATGAGGAGGTAGGCAGGTGTTGGAAGTTTATTTTTATCTTTTTCGTCTAGTATATGTTTGTGTGTGTGAGTGTGTGTGTGTGTGTGTGTGTGTGTTTGTGTGTAAAGCATAGATATAACCTTCTGTACTCCACCACTTGCTTATATGATCCCTCTTCTCTGAGATTAACACAGGATCTGATTCATTTCCTGAGCATCGGTCTTTCTCACACATATACACATACTCTCTCACACATACATACAAGTCAGTGAACATTTGAAGCGCTGTAGTAACTTGAAACACAAGTCACATGTTTGCATGAAATAGACACTCAGTTATGCCAAAGTAACCCTGGCAGTTTTATGGGACCCTACCGGTGGTTTTGCAGGGTTTTGCCCATTAACTACAAATAATTTTTACTTTACATTATTGCCTGCCAAATTTTTGGACGAACGTTCCAGACAGCCATTTGTTTTCCATTCATTTCAGTGAATTATGAAAATCAACTTGCAAAGACTTGAAACTTGTTTAGGGTAGGTAGCTTTTAACTACATTTTACATTATCATTGTGTAATAACCCAATCAAACAATTCTCATTGTTGGCGCATTGCATTCTCAAGCATTCGGCCTGTTGTTAGAAGACTAATACGGATAGAAATGAGCAGAAATGGACATCAGGAAAAAGATAATGTCAATTT